AAACAATATGGCTTCTCTCAAATGTGAAAGCAATCAAGGCACATCCTAAAAGAACTATGACATTGGGAGATTTGTTTGTCTATATTTTGTCCAGAGTGGGTGTAAGTCCATTTCTCTCTCATTTGTTTTGAATGAAACTTATATGTCCCAGACCGCCATATAGAGACACTGTTTTTACTGTACATCATTCTGAAGCGTGAGAGACATATTAGCAGATGTGAACAGAAGGAAATTAACCTTCGGTTTTTGGGTGGACACTGTCATGGGATCAGTTTTTTTTTTACATTGAAAAATCGTTTAATGGAATCAAAATCTGTTCTGAGATCAGCATAAAAGCACAAGTTTAATGGTACTAATGAAAAAGCCCAAAGGTTTATACATGTGCACATTGGGTGGATTGACCTCTGTCCAATAAATACAGAAGGGTCAATCTAAGCCTTACATGTTGTAACAGGGACTGTCCCGAATAGGGATTGGTTTGAAGGCTCTACTCACGAAAAATCTGTCGGATCGCCAGAACAATGAACAGAAAACTAGAGCAGACTGCTTCCATGAGAAATGACTCTCGGGAGAAGAAAGGAAACCGAAATATAAATAAAAGGCAGTTTTCTCTTTCAGCAGTGTGTAAATAATACACCATTCTATCCTATAGATAAGCTTAGTTAAACAGGCATGTTTTTAGAGGAAATGGCTGGACTCGCAGCGGGTGTTTGTGTTGGGGGGGAGGACAGTGGTTGAAATTTGAACTACTAAAAATATACATCAATCCAATCTCTCATTCAAGACCACTAATCAGTGTGTTATAATTCCTACAGGCAAATGCATGTTTATTCTGAGCGGTACCAAAAATTTATATTATGTAAGTAGGGTTTATTATAACAACAACACTGATAAATTAAACTGCTTTCTGTACACTACCTGACAAAAGTCTTGTCACCTATCCAAGTTTTAGGAACAACAAATAATAACTTGACTTCTAGTTGATCATTTGGTATCAGAAGTGGCTTATATGAAAGGCAAAAGCCTCTAGATTATACTTATTTTACCAAATTAAAACATAATCCCACCTTGATTTAGTTATTTAATTAGGACAATAAGGTCTGACTTTGCTTAGACAAAAGTCTTGTCACTTAACAGAAGTAATGTACAGTATAGAATATAAAGTCATTGTTCAGTGGAAAAAGAACTAATATTGTGTGACTCCCATGAGCTTGGAGGACTGCATCCATACATCTCTGCAATGACTCAAATAACTTATTAATAAAGTCATCTTGAATGGCAAAGAAAGCATTCTTACAGGACTCCCAGTGTTCATAAAGATTCTTTGGATTCATCTTTAATGCCGCCTCCATCTGACCCCAGACATGCTCAATAATGTTCATGTCTGGTGACTGGGCTGGCCAATCCTGGAGCACCTTGACCTTCTTTGCTTTCAGGAACTTTAATGTGGAGGCTCAAGTATGAGAAGGAGCGCTATCCTGCTGAAGAATTTGCCCTCTCCAGTAGTTTGTAATGTAATGGGCAGCACAAATGCCTTGATACCTCAGGCTGTTGATGTTGCCATGCACTTTGCAAATCTCTTGGATGCCCACATACTCAATGTAACCCCAAACAATGATTTTTCCTACATCAAACTTGATTGATTTTTTTGAGAGTCTTGCTCCATGCAGGATCCAATAGGCCTTCTGAAGTATTTGTGATGATTGGGATGCAATTCAACAGAGTATTCATTGAAAAAAAAATCTACCTTTTACTATTTTTCTAAATGATCATCTCAAAAGCCCCTTTCACACATACAGACCTTTCCGGAAAATTACCGGCAATTTTCCGGAAAGGTTGTATGTGTGAACAGGCCCTTTTTGAAAATACCGGTAAATTCGTTCTGGCTATTTTCCAGAAAGAGAAGTTGTAACATTACCGGTAATTTGCCGGAATGCTGCGCTGTGTGAATGCAGAAGGAAGATTCCCGTAATAAGCGCGTCCACGTCTAGAACGGGCTGACGTGAGACACCTGCTTTAGCCAATCACAACAGTCAGACGCATTCACGTGCGTGCGGTTTATGAGAATAAAAGCCTTTGAATATTTTTTCCAGACACCTTTAGCTGCTAGATGTTAGTCAGATAATGTTTCTATGTTCCTTCTTAATGCTGTGTAAATAATTATCGATAAAATGTTTATGATAATCCGTTGTTTGTTTACCTTCAAGCTTTGCGTGTGCCAGTGAGCGCCAGCACACACACATATCAAAGTGTTTCCCTATGTTTTCATTAGAGTTGTACTCAATACTGATCCATCCGAAGAGTTTGTAATGTAGTCAAATGTTTACAAACACAAGCGCAGCCGTTTAGAGGTCATTTCTGGTTAATGATGTCAGAATTTACCGGCATTTTGCGATGGATGTGTGAATGCTCTTTTCCGGAAAATTTCCGTAACGTCCTCGCCTGTGTGAACAGCGCTTTTTTTGAATATACCGGTAAAGTCGTTCCGGAAATTTTCCAGATATTTACCGGTATCACTGTGTGAAAGGGGCTATAGTCATGTTAATATTTGTTCCTCTAACAACTGGGATTGACGACAAGACTTTTGTCAGGTGATGTATATTCAAATAAAGGTCAAATTCAATAATAAATAAGTTCATTGCTATGCGCTAGTTTGTGATGTTTTAGGGTACGTTCACGCTTTGATTAAAATAAAATCTGGTGTGATTGTTCTATTAGTGTAGTTTTTATAGAGTTGTTTATTATAAGATTAAAACAAAATGGATGCATGTTTTTTTCATGTCATAGATTCTACATTTCCCATTAGAGTCCAATATGCCATCTCAGATCAGATCTCAGACACTACACTCAGAATTTTCCAATCGCACGAAAAAGGGCAAATGGCAAAAATTAAATGGTTAAATACAATTACCAGAAGACTACAATGTCTAGGGCTGAAAACATTAAAGCAAGCCAAGTACTGTCACTTAGTGGATCAGAACCAGAGACCACAGCCGGTTTGGTGGTATACATGTCAATGTGTGCGGAATGATGCCATAAGGACTCTGGATAACACCCATCATCTGTGTGTCCTTGCTTGGGCCAATGAAACCACAAGAAAATATACTGTAGTTACTGCAAGGGTACTGCAAAACCAACTGTGCTGCTGCGTGCCCTAAAATTAGTTGAAAAGATGTTGACTAAATTGGGAAACAACTGTCTTTTTTCACGGCCTCTGTTGAGTGACTAAAATAAATTCTGAATCTTTTGTGAAATTTAAATAGCTGCTAAATTTGCAAATCTTCAGATTGCATAAAGAACTTTTCGTAAAGACATTCTGCTTATTCTAGCTGCTTTTTTATTCCGGACAGATATATGTATCCATCAGTGATGTAAAGTAACACATTACAAATACTCAAACTACTGTAATTTGGTAGTTTTTCTCAGGAAATTGTTATTTACTAAGTAGTTTTAAAATGTGTACATTTACTTTCCCTTGAGTCCATTTTTAGTGCACTATCTGTACTTTCGACTACTTTCCTTCAACCTGCTATCACTACTTTGATTTTTCTAATCCCCATAGACAGGAAAAAATAGTCCAGTGATTCCTGTCCAATCTAATCACACATAGAAGGTAAATCGCATCATAATAAACAACCTCAAGACATTGGCACTTTATAATTGCAGCAAACTGTTTGCAAGCATTTAATGTGTCCAAGAAGAGGCCAAAAATCTTTACACACAATGACCCAGGGATTGGATGCCGAAATGGCAGACTGAAGATGTAACCCAACATCATGGAGACATTGCAGTTTGCTTGGAAATGAAAATTGGGTTGACATCAGAACCCAACATAAGGCCGACATCACTGTCCAATGGCCAACCTAAAATCAACCAAATATCAACGTCTAATGATGTTACAGCTTGACTTTGTATGGACGTTACCACTATGACGTCTCTCAAATGTTGGATTTTAGTTGCCATACCTGACGAATAAATGCCAGTATTTGACATCAATATGACGTTGGCTTAAGATGCTGGTTTGAGATTGGACTTTGGTCGGTTTCTTATACAACCGAAATCTTAATCAAATATCAACGTCACTTGACATTGTTATTGGACATCAAAATAACATTGTCCTTTGACACTGGCTAGACATTGAATTTTGGTCACCTGACATCACAACCTAAATCTAACATAATATACATTTTTTCAGTACTCTTCCCACCACTGGTATCCATTTATGTGTGAGGTAAACACTCTTTTTCTTTCTTTGTCTCTTAATCAGTCACTCAGTCTCCTACTTCTTTTCCATACTGTGAACCCACAAACTAAATTCCTCCGAACACTGACCAGCAACTCTTTCCAAATACATGTTAAATGAACCAGCAACAATGCGGAATTCCAGTATTTATCTTAAAAGTTTGTTCTGGAGGGTATTTTCAACAGATGCTTCTGTTGGAAATGGACATTAAGGCGGCCCTTTGAAGTCTGGAATTGCTTATTATTGGGAGGTAAAAAAATGGAGGAAAACATGCCCCAATTTCCATTTCTTTTCCAGAGGGGTAAAAACAGCTTGAGAACACAGTTGGCCCAGTTGCCGCATGGTGGCAACAATTATCATGGCAACAGACTTAAACCAACATTTCAAAAGAACAACAAAGCACAATTTTACCATCTGCCAAACAACACTTTCTGCAGTTCTCCAAAAGAGGATAACATCTGTTAATCATATGTCATAATTACAAATTGTCTTGGTTAGTGAAATTACAAGTTTCATTGCTCCACAACTGCCATAGCTCTTTCAAGAAAGATTAAAATCACAAAACTCCTTTCAAGACATAACAAATAGTCTATCTTTTATAGCCCAATTTCCTTAATTGATTTCTCCTTTGAGAAAAACATTCTGAATATACATAAACAGCTATTATTGTACATTTAAGCAGAATGGACATTATAACTGAAATATATTCAAATAAATAGCAAAGCGAATGAACCAAGTACAAAATAGTAGGACATACCTCAAGGAAACAGGTCCCTGCTGATGTGTTCTCCTTGATTGAAACGTTGTAGAAGCTGCTTCCAAACACTGGCTCATTATCGTTAGTATCCTGGAGGTCTATTTCTACCACAGCAGTGGAGGATAATGGGGGTCGTCCTCCATCAGTGGCCACTACTTTGATACTTGGCTTTGGGTTTGTCTCATAATCCAGCTTGGTTGCGGTGGTTATGATCCCAGTGACAGGGTCAATGGTGAACCAACTGGAATGTGTTTTCTTGTCTGGTAGGATGCTGTAGCGGATATCACCATTGGGACCTTGGTCTTTGTCCCTTGCGGTCACTTGCAGCACAAAGCTACCTGGGTAGACTACTTCTGGTATGGTCTGCTTGTATGCCTGTTGGTCAAATAGAGGTGGGTTGTCGTTTACATCGGTGACGTGAATTGTAAACGAGGATTCTGCATGTAGTGGCGGGGTTCCAGAATCAGTAGCCATGACACGAAGCTCATAAGAATCCCTCTCTTCCCGATCCAGAATCTGGTCTACATAGATGAGGTAGATGATGCTGTCTTTAGTGGTCAAGGCAAATTTGCCATCACCGCCCTCAAGAGACACATTGACATTGGAATACTCTCCATAATCAGGGTCCGAGACGGAGATTCTCGCAACATATTGGCCAGGTTGAGCACCTTCTGAGATTTGGGGTGAGCCATCTTCACTGAGAAAGATAATGGTCATGGTTGGCTGGTTATCGTTGTAGTCTCGAACGTGGATTGTAACAAAGGCATTCGTAATCTCTGGATGGCTCGCATTATCCTTGGCTTGCACTACCAACTCATGAACCTTCCTCATCTCATAGTCTAGAGCCTTATTAAGTGTAATGATCCCAGAGCGAGGATCGATGACAAAATAGCGATCTGGGTCACTTTGCCGTCGATTTATCTCATACAACACAAGGCCGTTGTCTCCTTCATCAGCATCAGATGCAAAAACCTGAAGGATGTTGCTGCCCTGAGGAAGGCTCTCAGAGATGATGGCATTGTATCGACTCTGGTTGAAAACCGGTGCATGGTCATTGATATCCTGAACCAGGATGTCAAGTGTCATCTGTCCGTTCTGCCTTGGAGATCCACCATCAAAGGCCTCAACCACTAATGAATAAGAGGACCTCTTCTCTCTGTCCAAGACTCCATTGACCACCAAGTCAAGGTAAAGTACTTTGTTTGCTGCTCTTTTGGTCTCTAGTCGGAACACTTGTCCTACATTGCCTTCTTTGATCTGATATCCTTGTACAGTAAGCTGATCCTTATCTGAATCAGTGGCTGGCTCGAGAGAGAACTTAGTTCCCACTGCCGTTTGCTCTGGGATCTTCAAAGAGGCTTTCTTCTTAGGGAATGTGGGAGCATGATCGTTGATATCATTTACAGTGATAGAGACCTTGACTGTGAAACCTGTCATAGTGACTGCTATAAAACTGTAATGGTCCCTTTCCTCTCGGTCAAGTCGCCTGGCGGTCTTGATGATACCTGTGGTTTCATCAATGTGGAGATCACTACCAATGCCTGTGCCTTCATGGTCAGAGATGAAGTACAGAGAGGCTGTAACTCCAGGTTGCAAACCGGCACTGATATCACCCACTATTGTCCCCGCGGGTTGCTCCTCATCTAACTGGAGCTCCAAAATACCTGGTGTGCCCTCACCATTAACCATAACTGTTAAGAGTTCCGCTACAACACAAACCACCAACAGCATCCTTAGCCTCCGAATCACCCAAACTCGGAAGTGTCCATGTGTGTTTTTCCCAAAGTCATCAAACAGAGTCATCGTGTCAAAGTTTCTTCACACCTGCAAAACAAAAAAAGAGCAGACTGTCACTATTACATTAACATAACACAGCAAAAAAATGATGATACAGATCCAGCAATGATCTATGATTCCCTCACTGACTCTCACAAACAGCTGGAATGCATGAGAAAGTGCATTTGCTTCAGAAAGGAGAGGTTTCCCTTAGCCAGGACAGTAAAACTGTAAGCCGCTTCCACATGTTTTACAAGCTGTATTTTCAAAATACACTTTACACGCATGCATTTCCCATGGCTCCAACTTGCCTTATCAGTAATGCTGTCAGATTGTCCATACTGCTTTGATATCGTCAAAAGATCAACCTATTTTAATCAAGACATCTTTTTAATGTCATATTCCCATAAAAAGTCAATCCTCATTTTACTACCTAATGAATGGAAAATATATTTTATTTCCAGTCAGATGGCAGGGTACTGTATCGTCAGAGTAATTACTGCAAGTCGCAAACTAAAAGACATTATATTGCTTAGTATGTAATGCTCTAGTTTACTCTAGAAAGCATACGCCCATTGGATGGATCAGTCTGGACTTTTTTTCCATGACAGTCTAAAAAAAGGCACAATTTATGATACCCATTGTTGTAATATTTTCCTGCTGACTTGAAATATGTTATTGGAACATAATTTAACAGCTGTTCTGTACATGGCTATTCAGGAGGCTATTAACATGGCCACAAAGTTAAGCTAATTTTCTTTAAAGAGAATTAAGAGTACAAACAGTAATGGCATGCCACATAGAATCATTCATATTTGAAAGGAGGGCATCAGATGACAAGACAAACACTATAATTCAAACACAAACATGGATGTTGGGATGTTGACATAATATTCTTCAAGTACAGTATGTTTAATCTTTAAACTAAAACCAGGCAAAAAACGTATTAAAGTAGTTAACTTCAGTCTTTATTAAAGCCATATTAAAGTGGAAATCATAAAAACGGAGCCACTAATTTTGAACAGAACAAAAGACATTACTAAGGCTAAAAGGCCAGACAGGAGCTTGGAGCATGTGTTTGGAAAACATCTCTACTCCTGTCATATGTGTGAAGGCTGAATCCTCTGTGAAGCAATCTGCTACAGATGGTCAGACGTGGGACTGATATTTTACAAGCCACTGAATAAGTGCATTAGGACAATTAGAAAATTATACTACTTTTGCTGGAATTGTGACAAACCTCAGGAGTGTTTGCACTTGCACTGACTAGAGTAGCTGTTGGTAAAGTCTGCATTATCCAAACCTCAATACATAATGATGGCAGATCATCACTGTGGGCCGTTGTGGTCTCTGTACATAAGTGGATTACAAATGCAATTTGTCCTTGTCAAATCTGTTCAAGAGTTCTCCAGTGAGATGCACAGAACTCACTGAAGGAAAAACTAAATATTGAATCTGGACTTCAATCTAATTTTTTAAACAAGGAAGAAGCTCTCCAGCTAAAACCACATGAATGTTTTCATTCATTGCAAGTCTGTTCGAACAGGCTCCCTCTTGTGGCCACAGTGAGTCAATAAGTTTGTGAAAACTGTTAAAAGTAGTTCTGTTAATATTTGTATATGAGAAATACTAACCCAGAAACATATCAACTGTTTTAGCTAATTGTCCGAGTGGTTTTGTTCATCTGATGGCTGGCATATTCAAATAATTAACCTCACACATCTTAAAGGAAGGTTTTGTGTGGTCTACCCTAATGAAGAGGCACAGCATGTCTTAAAAACATATAGACAGCTAATGCTTGGGTTAATTATTTATCTTTCTCTTTAGCGTCTTGTTACTTATTCTATAATACATATATATGTAGTACTACAAGTTGTTGATTTAATTTCCTCTGGGGAAATTTGTAATCTGGACTGGCCTGGTGACTAGTTCCTATTATTTATTCATTCATTTTCTTTCGACTGAGTCTTTATTACAGAGGGCCCCTGAGCGAAATGAACAGCCAACTATTGCAGCATATATTTTATGCAGCGGATGACCTTCCAGCCGCAACCCAGTACTGGGAAACACCTGCACACACTCATTCCGACACACTCATACACTACGGCCAATTTAGATTACTCAACTTACCTACTATATACTGCATGTCTTTGGATTGTGAGGGAAACCTATGCGACCATGCGGAAAACATGCAAACCCCATAGAGATATAACAACTGTCCCAGCTGGGACTCAATCCAGCGACCTCCTTGCTGTGAGGTGACAGTGCTAACCACTGAGCCACCTAGTTCCTATTATTCAGTTCCTATAATTATCCGGTGTGCGAGCCCCTAGTTATGTCTTGGAGAGGTGGATGTTTGTTTACAGTTCTATTGAAAGGAACCCTCAGAATGCTATTCCTAGCAAGAGGTTTCCCAAATGTGATTTCTACTAAGTGTTTTGAATCCCTTGTGATTCCCTGCACATACTGAATCAATACAAATCAAATGATCATTAAAAAAGCAAAAAAATATATTTGTGAAACCTAAAACCTTGATTTCTACGATCAAGAGACCCCCCGTAGTTATTTGTGTGAAGTGCAGTGGGTCCAATGTTCAGCCTAATGAAAGTAGCAGAAATTGTGGGGCACTTGGGGGCCACATTCTGAGGTCATGAAGGCCCACAATGCATTGCCACACAATGCGTCTCGTTCTTATATTTAACAGCTTATTAAAATACAGAGCATAAAAAGGTAGTCGAGGGGGCCAGTGGAGCTGACGGTTTCTTCATCATGATCTCTCTAAAGTCAACATTGGGCAGACTGAGTGATTGATAGAGGCGTCTGAGGAAAACCTGTGGGGGGCCGTTGTCTAATTCAACATTTCTGCAGCGGGACAGAACTGAAGCTTACTGCCATGCTGGACCACAAAGATTCAATAATCTTCCTCAGAGCATTCAAACTATTTTGATAGACTTAATTCTTTTGTGAGACGGATTAAAACACTCAAACTCTAAGCAACTAAAAACATGTTGAACTATGAAAATGAGGCAGAAACCATTGCTCGGTAGGATATTTCAATTTAAAAAACTTGGCTCTATCTGAGGGACGAATGAGAAATCTTTCACCAAAACCTATGCTTATGATGGGACTAAAATGACTGAATACGGATGAGCAGTTGCCACAGTTTCCGCAGGCTAAATGGGTATGGAATTCACTCCCGCTCAGTTTTCAGTATTTAGACAACCACAGTGCCAGACCTCCTTGGGCTTTCTGCTTTTAGCCATCCAGCTGTCGTCAAGAGGCTGGAGTCGGCTGGTTTTCACGGTGAAGGTGGCAGGCGGGTCTTAGTACAAGATCCTGACTAGGAGGAGACTGGCTTATTTGGTTTTCATGGCAGTTGAGCTACACTAAGTCTCAGGAAGCAGGTGACAGATTAGCCAAGAAATATCGTTTCAGTATGGATCATTTGTCTAAATATAAAACTCAGTCAATGGGCATACAAATAAAGAAGGATTTGTGTTGGCACTGTACACATGTCAGTGCCTAGTAGTAATGCCACAAAGTCCATATAATTACATAAAAAGTCAAGCATGAGGCTTACATTGATTGGAACTCCATGTTTTCTACAACATTTTATGCTTTGGATATTAATTCACACATTACTGGGGTTTTAGCTCATACAGTATGGTAATTGCTTCTGGGTAAAATATAATTTAAATATATGATGAACAATTACATTATGCAGCTGAGAGGCTCAACAAAACTGAAAATATACTTAATTTAAAGGTGCAGTAGGTGATTGTCTTCAGAAACATTTTGTGTTATTTTTTAATGTATTTATATGTAGTTTTAGATTCTGGGTAAGGCATAAAACAAAAAAATGTTCATCCAATTAAATATCGTCGGGCCGATAATTGCCAAAAATTCTGATAAATAGCCCAAACTGTCAACAAAAGTGGATTTGAACAACTGCGCACCCTTTCACGCAGATCCGCCAAAGCATGTTTACACGAGCGTCATCGCTAAAAACAAATGCTGAATTAAAACTTTTTAAAATCCTGAATTAGTATTAGAGTTACTTTTGTACGCTGGTAGAAGGATGACATCATGACTGTATTTCCATGGCAAGTATTTTTAGACAGGTAATGTTATGTTTTACTATTTTAGTCAAGCAAAGCTAATATCGATTGTGTTGCTATGAATAGGTTATATCCACAGAAGTTTTGATCAGACACTGAAATTTTCCGGCGATAGATTGATGTGACTATTTTCAGTTTCATAAGGACCCTTTACACCCTCGATAATGTTGTTTGTAATTTAGTTAACCACAAAACAAAAAAAAGTAAATAGCACTCATCCGCCTAGCCTGCTTCACTGAGGTGAAGTTTGCTTTATATTCACATTGGTTCATTATTGAACAATGACAGCCTGTGTGACGCTCGATCTGAAATAGCATGCAAGTATGGCTTAGTAATAGGTGTAATTTCTGCACCCTACTGGCCAACCACTAAGCATACAGTAGTCGCTTTAGGACAAAGTGTGTGAGAGAGTGCGACTGATGAGAGAGACTGATGAGAGAGTGATGATAGCATAACTGAAAATAAGCTAGATGTAATACAGTTTTTCGTTAGGAATTGTAGTATTATAAAGTACTATAAAGATTTTTAAATAGCGAATGATATGATCTAGTGGGTCTTTATTGTGCGCGTTCAGGAGGCGTGACTTTGGACAACGGGGGGTTATATTTGAAAGATATTATGCTAACCAGTTAGCATTTAGGCAGATAACCGCACCCTTTAAACCTTTATATAGCAAACTATAAAATGTATTACAGGTTCAAGAAATTATATTTCCAATCTTACAATAGATTGCAAGTATCCATTATTTAACATTATACTGCGAGGCTTGAATGCTTGATTCTGATTCGCTAATGAACATTCTAGGCCTATGTTGTCCAATAATTTTTATGCAAACCCAGTCATAAACATAAAGGGGTTGGCAGACCGGATGCGCCACGACACAGTGCACACATGACAATTGGAAGTATTGCAATCCAGAGGTGCACATTC